TTATTATATAGTTTAATTATTAGAGAATGATCTTGTTGTCGCAATCAAGAACCCCTGGTTTTCTCACGTTGATTCTCTTACTATCTAACCGGAGGCGATGTGTCACGAGTTTTCATGACTGCGACTTGGAATATGAAGAAGCAAGCTAGTAAAATTAGCCGCACCTCAAGGTTCTAAAATTATATGACATTGATAGGTATAATATAACTTGCGTCCCATTTCAAACTTTTCGCGGGTCAAAAGAAAAATTCGATTTTTTTTAATAAAAGAAATAATAAACGAAACGAGATGCATCTTCAATTTCGCTCAAATCGGGTGTTATTTCAATTTCGCCGGTCTAGATCGTTCCTGCGAAGCAAAATGAGAAACAATTGCACGGCATTAATTCACCGGAACCTCCTTCGGAGGACCGCCTTCTCCTACTGCTGGCGATGGACGGAACGGGAGCCGACACGCCGGCGCAGGCTCAAGTCTTCTCTAGCCACAAGGTCGGACATAGAGCGGCGAAACGACCCAATTGTTCGTTCATCTATTCTAATTTCATCGGGTTCGGTACGAGTCCCCGGCTTCGATGCGATGTTATTAAGATCGGTTAATCTTTGGACACAAATGGCCACCACTTTCCAAATGATTAAGAGGAGGAGGAAAGGTGAGCGAGCGAGTCAACAAAAGGGGGGGCTGGGAAAGAGAGATTCCTGGAAATCGGGAGGGTACGATCTGCACCTGCAATTCCGAAAGGAAGCCAGTTTTGGTGAAAGCTTCTGAGAGAGAGAGAGAGAGAGAGAGCGAGCAAAAGGAATGATCTTTTACAAATTTCTTTTGACGACGGGGGAGAGTGATTCTTTTTGTTTCGTGCCTATTGATGCAAGCTCGATGAGAGAAAGAGAGAGAGGGAGGGAGGGAGGGAGATCACGGGTGGTGCAATGTGCAAAAGGGTCTGGGGGTGGGGGCTCCACGATTGGAAATGATATGAAAGTGGTACGACAGAATCACATGATGAGGCCGCTTGCCGCTTCGTACTCCGCGCCCTCGCCCTCCGCCTCCATTCATTGCCACCTAACTTTTCATGTTAACGAGTGTCCCGGGCACCTGTTTTTTTTATTTTTTTTTGGTCAAATCCCGGGCACCTGTTAAATATGTTTTTATTTGATATGAGTCGATTTTCGAGACTATGGATTGCGTAGTACAAGGGTGGTTATTACTGGACCTATCAAACGGGTGGGGTGAGTCGAACCGGATTCAGATCGATTCAAAAATTAATTGATCCAAATTGACTCGTTTAACTTGTTTTGATACATTTCCAAGCAATACAAATTATAGAAGTGAGCGGTTCCACCTGGAACTTACCTGTCGGAACAGATTTCTCATTTTTTTAAACTTAGAACCTACCTGCATACCATGGAATCTACATTGTCACATGTTTCAGGGTCGATTCCAAAGGATATCCAGGTTCCACCTATGTTCATAACTGAACAATTACAGTGAATCATAACTTCTAATAACAATCATTTACTGCTATAATCGACTTACCACAATTTATATTTACATACACAGAGAATATAAAACTTTAACAAAGTAAAAGTCTCAATCATTGATATCGTAGGAAATGGAAGCTCAGACTAGTTGTTCCAAATTACACACTCATCATCAGACGCCATGGAATACCACAAGATTGCGCGAAAATATAAAACAAGAAAAATACAAAAACTTGTTACAAGTTACAGTGGAAAGCTTGTTGGAACCGGTTCTCTAATTTTTAGAACCTGGAACCTACCATTCATACCATGATACCATATTCACCGTTGATACAAATCTAGTAATGCATACTCGACTCAATGCATACCTGACTAGATCCATATTGATAAAACACTTCTATATTTAATTCAATATAGGGAAACTCAAACCCAAATTAAGAGCGAGCGCAAGAATTCAAATGAGGGCGAAAGAGAATTATAGACCTGGGTTAGGTCTAAATAAGTTGTAAGCTCACTTAACACTCATATTATTTTAAGTCTTATCATATAAAAACTCGACATATCAAATAGGAATTAAGAAATGAGTTCGTGACCCATATTGACATGTCTAGTTAGTACATTGAAAACCGTAAAGTTTCTTTGATTGGGCGTTCGTCATGTCGTTAAATTTTCGTAAAGTAACTTCTTCTTTTTTCTTTTTGGGGGCCCCTAATTTCTTCGTCATCCAGCAAGGGCACGGATTGCTTACGGTGGTTCCCTACGTATGACGACGGCCTTTCACCCGACGCGGGCAGTGCTTCCCCAACCCACATGAAAGCGACCCGTGGACGAAGGGCTCGTACTCGACCAAACGTGCCCACGTGGCTCCCCGCCATTGGCTGAATCTTGACCCTCGCCATGCATAACGAGAGTCGAGCCATTTCTTTTCCTTTGGACTTACTAGGGAAGGGAGAAAAGGAACACTGTTTTCCAATGCAAGCTCAACAAATTTTTGGGGTAATCTCGTCGTGGTTGTAGCTTGCTACTTTATCTTGCGTGGAGTGTTGACGCCCTTTCTCCTCGATAGATAATTGCGTGGATCTAAACATGCATGCACCCGGAATTGCCAGAATGGTTGAATTCGAACGGGCTCGATCAATATGACGTGTTTAAGAGTGCGTATGCAAAATGCATCTAAGTACATATAACAGTGTCTTCTCTCTCTCTCTCTCTCTCTCTCTCTCTCTCTCTCTCTCTCTCTCTCTCTCTCTCTCTCTCTCTCTCCATCCTTGGGATAAGGAGTCTAACGTCGATTCGACACACTCTAAAAACGAGTTATATAATCTCGCTCGGGCACCTCCTTTTTCGAGGTGATGGTTTGGATACAATATCCTTTCCATCTCATTTTGGCTGCACTTGTATTTCGCCTGGCGTCAATATAGGGGCCAATTCCAAAAAAAAACATCAATTTTAGGTCGAATGATAATTCTTGCCAAAACTTTTTTTTGTCTCGTAAAAAAGCACCCACTTTAGGTCGAGTAACAATTCTGGCCCCAACTTTTTTTTGTCTTATAAAAAATCACCAACTTTCACCCTTATCCCAAATTTGACTCCCCGTTAGCTCCTTGTCTGAAGTTACCCTTGTTTGAGAAAAAAAGGTTATGGTGGTGAGCTTAGCGGATCTTGTCCATGGCGTTTGTCGACGGGCGGTGGTCTACAGCTTCAGATTACAACAAAACGACGAAATCTGGACAAAGAGATTCAATCTTGAGATTTTTTTTACTTGCCGGTGAAGCGAAGGAGATGAACAGTTTCACGTTTATTGTTCAAGCTGTGGCTCAGAGAATAAGACAATGAATAGTGTTTTAAATCAAGTTAGCAAGCCACGTGGATTTATTGCTGAAGTTGAATAGTCAAGTTGGATAATCAATAGTTCTAAATCAACGGGGGCTAGATTTGGGATTAAAGTGAAAGTTTGTGCTTTTTTACAAGACAAAAAAAAGTTTGGGTCAGAATTGTCACTCGACCTAAAGTTTGTAGCTTTTTTTTCAATTAGGCCATCAATATAGGGAGGAAAAAAAGGATGCACTTCCTATTCATATAGAGTACGACATACATCGGTCAAAAGAATCGTTTCACCTAAAAGTATCGAACTGTTTTTTTTTTTTGACCAATTAAGGAAATGATTACATTTTAGTGATATGATTTGTCCGATTCAAAATGTCGCGAGACTCAACAACTAAATCCCCGACCCGTCGTCTCGAAGCGTTTGCAAGATGGGATCCCTCCCAAAACCCATCACCCACTTGGAAATAAGAAATCAGTTCGATTCAATCCGATTTGATGAAGGTAGGGTGACTTCTCAGACTTGTATGGTGCATTGGCATAATTCCGTACGTCAAGAGAAGGGAAGAAGAGAGGATTTTCTAATCTACCGTGACAAGAGATTTCCTTTTCATAAGAGGCGGCAATATCCCTCTTCTTAACGCGTATGGTCTTCTACTTTTTAAGCAAAAAATTCATAGGACTGCGAGTGTTTGAAGCTTTGTGGTGACCCCACTTGAAAACGAAGCTTTTTTCAGCCCATGGGTCAAAACTCATGGGGTGTGGGAGTTACGTCTGAAGCAAGGCATTCACGAGTGTAAAGATTCTCTCTCTCTTCTCTCTGCCCCCTTTAATTTTCAATACATTTAGTCTTCTGCATTGAGCAGTTTTTGTTTAATGTTCTTGCCCTGGTCATGAAAGGGACAACAATTGCTTCTTGTAGTCTCCTCTCGCTTCTCTAGCTATCCTACTCCTAATCAAAGAAATTAACGGATGGTCTTATGATGTCTCTCTCACGAGACAAGAAGTTAGGTAACACTAACCTCAAGGTTTTGTCAAATTAGCGGTGCGGTGAATGTTTAACGAGCATTTTACGTAAACAGGGTCCTAATTGTTGGTTGAGATTGCGCGTAGACAAATACGTAGGACAGCAACTCGGCGCTATACCCGATATTTTAATTTTTATTGCAGTTACCGGTGCGCCGCTAAGCAAGGGGACGCACGGCCTCTGTGCACAGGTAAAGCTCACGAAAACAGGCTGCGGCAGCAATGACTATTTTTCATTCTTTTTTCTGCCACAAAAGAGATTAATTACTTTCCTTTTCCATGATGTTGATTTCTTGATTCTTTCCGTGGGTGATTGGGCAAAACCTTGCATGATTAAAAAGCAAGGCAGGAAAGAATTACAATAACAAAACATGTGAACCACAAGAGAATAATGATGAGGAATGTGGACCCCCAAGATCTTCGCTCTCGTGCTGTCTATCTAAATTGGTATTGGATCTATGGGATTCTACAAACTGGGGGGATAATATTCAAATGGCCCAATGGATAAATCCTGCTCAGACATGAAAACTTGCTAAGTTCTCTGCTTCAATCAGTGACGCGCCGCTCTTCTTTCAGAAGCAATGACTTCTACAACCGATCGATCGTTCACGTCAGACTATGAACATGATCGCCTTTACATGATTTAAAAATGTAAAAGGAAAAGTCATCGGTGCATTTGCAGAACAAATATGTAATTAATAACAGAGGGTGAGAGAATATTGTCCAAGAAAAACCATACACAAAAGGCAGATAGAAGACAGTATCGCATGGGCCTTAGAGCTCCATGCTCAGCTTTGGAAGAATCGACTCAACCACAGCAGGACAAAAGAACAAAACCTACTGCTGCTTGCACTCAGGAGGGCGCTCGACTTGCTCTGTCCTCCCACCCTGTGCTCGGCCACTCTTCTGCAGTTCAGATTAGGATGGGAGGTTCACGTTTAGCCAAGCTCATAATCCAACACTGTATCTTCTCAACATTTCATTTGAGAAAAGATTGGCAATGCATTCATCTCACCTTGGATCCAGCTGATGACTGCTTCCACGCAATCACCAATAAGAATGAATTAGCATCTCCACCAAGAAAATTCCACCAATCACAAGTGTAGAGAAATTCAAGAGAAGATGGTTATTACCTTCTTGCTCTTGCTTTGCTCCTCTTCTTCATCATCTTCCTCATCGTCTTCGTCATCTTCGTCATCATCCTCATCATCTTCGTCTTCTTCATCTTCCTCACCCTCTTCGTCTTCATCGCCTACTATGTCACCAATATCATCATCTTGAACAGCCTCGCCCGTAAACCACGACACAGCATGAGGAATTATCTTATCGCGGATAGCGGAGCTGCATTATGATTGATAGTTTGAATTGTGCAAAAGAACAACAGTCAAGGCTTTAGGTCAAGTTGTCCCAGTGGTAACAGATGCTTTCCTCGCAAAGCAGGCAACTCCTCACTCAGATAACTACACCATTGCCATGTTTATTACACAGGAATTACCTTCCTATATTCCATAGTCAAGATCGCTAGGCTCCCACTAATCAAACTTCATTAACTGATTTACATAGAAGAAACAACCATATTAAAAGAAGAGAGAGAGCCTTCAAGGAAAAGGAGGCGCCGGGATATGTGTAAACATGAGGTTAAACACAGTCAGCTCGAGATTATCTCGTGCCATTGTAGTATTACAAAAGTGTGCCACCTCCCGGTTTTGAAAGATATCACTCCGATGAGAAGAAAACAACTATTCTGTTCTCTGCCAAAACATATCGTTACTCGTCTCATCAAATCCAATAGATCTTAATTCCACTCCATTACTTAGAGCAAACAAAATCAATTAAGATTATGCTCATGGAAATTGCTACATCCATAATAGATTGCTTCAATCTCATTAGTCCAAAAGTTATAATCCCCGCCAAACTATAAGCCTACAGCTTGGGTGAGACATCCAACACAAGCATCTACAAATACACCACCTTTTGACTATTGCAAAATTCTTGGGAAAGTAATAAGTAGCTTACGGGACAAACAAGAGATGGAACTGGGTTAGTGATGATATGAAACACACCTTTCGGAGAAAACTCAAACCAAGACACTAAAACCTGCTGGCAACTTTTCTCCCTCCAAAAGTCCCAAAAACTACATCCCGTTTAGAACTCCCTCAAGTAAAGTTCTCTTTGCTCGAAAAGTCAGGGAAATGGCCAAAAAAATCCTATTGAATGGAGGGTCAACCTTAGTCAAGAAAGAAGTAATCATTGACTTACCCCATGTCATAATCCTGTTCCATCAAATTCTGCAATTCCTCTGCCTGTTTGAAACCAATATAAAGAGATTAAAAGACTCCACTAGAACAAAGTGTAATTCATTGCAACACTACTTGCGATATCATACCGTATCTTCATCTAAATCATCTTCGTCATCATCTGGAATCTCTGGAGGATTGAAAAAATTAAAGAAGCTTTCGCATTTTTCAATTTTTGTAATGGGTTTGGCATTTTTTGATCCCTTTCGCGGCTTCTTCTTCAGCAGCTTCTCGGTCAAGCATTTCCCTGGGTACCACTCAATCTCTGTCCTGAGAGTTGCACCACAGGGCATGAGCTATGGGAACCAAAGCTGCCTAAACAAAATATACAAGTAAAGCTACTTACCCAATAGCTTTCTCAAGAATAGGTTCGTCGTCATCATCGATCATGTGATATGTTTTCGTAAGCACCGAATTCTTGAAGTATGGGTTAGCATCAAAGAAGAACTCGAGCTTAAAGCCCTTAGGTTTATCGATCCTAGACCACTTAATATCTTGTAAATACTTCAGTGCCCCCTCATCCCGTTCAGATATCTAAGCAAAGAAATGGAAGATGATAAGCCAAAATTAGTTCTACAAGAGGAAAAGAAAAAGGGATGGTTCTGCATTCACTACCTCTTCTGCCAGAATTTCATTGGTCTTCATTGCAGTGAGCCAGAAGTTTGGCACACCTTTCTCTGCATTAAAATTTCAATAAGGAAAAAGAACACTAAGAGAAAAGTTCAGGAGAACAACAGATACCCTCATAAAGACCACCTTCAGAAGATTTGTCCTCTTCTACTGCCGCAGAAGCTTCCTTTACTACTCCATCAACTTCAACAATTCCATTGACAATTTCATATCTCTATGTGCCAAAGAGCAAAAGTGCGTCAGCAGACAGCAGAGCAATCTAAACATCTAGAAGAATGGATTGCAATATCACCATTCAGATAAACATTTCCATCACTATGTACCACAAGCTTCATCTTCGTCAGAGAATATCACAAGTGAGAACAAATAATGCAGACCTTTGTATATAGGGGTTCGTACAACTTCTGGTATTTAGCTTCCAATGCTGCCCTCTCCTCGAAAAATTTAGCCTCCAGCTCATCATGATGGCTCTGAAAATCACCAAGTCTCCAGCGTCAAAAACTTCCTATCTACACATTATGGGAATCTAAAAATTTCTTGACATGAATACGCATTCTTGGAATTGGGGTATATGGTCGGCTTGACCACTATCGACCTGGTTAAGGGTATCCCCAGGGGCTTGAATAGACAAAAGGAAAATGTATGTGCATCCTTATCAGAAATAAGAATACACATGTATCCTAAGGAAATTACACACTTCCTAGTTCTAGCATTTACTGTAATAACTTCAATGCAAATCAACATATTTCATTGAACGAAAAATTAACTGGGGACATGCAAGTAAAGAGCTCCTCATATATATCAGCCAAATAAGACAGTCAACGAAATAACGCATACAATTGTTCAACTGGTATTAGCCGAAAATCAACTCACAAGCATGTTTATACGACTAGGCAAGTATTGCCATGAAACCTACACAACTATATAAAAATGGAATGACCGTGAATTATGTGATAATAAAAACATATCCAAGTACAAGAAACCTGAATTTCTTTTAGAGCCTCCACGCGCTTCCTAACATTAGGGGAAAGACTCTCTAGCACATCTGAATGCTGCCCGGCCAAGCTCTGCAGCTTGTTCTGCAGAAATTGAAATTGAAATTTTAAAAAAAATGAAAACTGTAACTAAAAGGAACAGCTGAAGGCAGAATAAAGTAATTGCAGCTCTTTGTAAGAAGAGATAAAAATAAAACAAAACTCATGTTCTTAAGCTGCATCCATGAGTCACAAAGTCTGTTCCATCAGGAAGCTACATAGGAATTAATTTTCTAAGCAAGTACACGAGATTCCATAAGAACCATCAACTAACTCATCACATAGTATCTGTCTCCTTTTTAAAAGGAGGCGTCTTTTTACACGCTTCCCAGAAATTCCAACTCGCAACCAACAAATTACTAAACGTAAAAATTCCACAATAACTTGCCTTGAGCTCAGTGACAAGACCTTTGCGATCTTCTGGGGTCAGAGCTACAAACACCAAAAACAGAGGAAGGAATCAATAGGATTTTTTGGGGTTGGTTATTAAGTGTGTATGCAAAAAAAAAAAAAAACTTTGACCACATTCAACTAAAGCACGTGCAAACACAAGTCAGTTTCTCCAATATATCGACAGAGCAATCACCGAAAACAACCGTTCAAACATAAAAATCCAATTCAGAAATGCATAACCCCAAAAAGAACTTATTTTGGACAGGAACAGAACAAAACAGCTCGGTCACCGATCATTCTAGCCTTCGATGTTTCATCAAAGCTAAATTCAATAACACCTACAACTTCGCGATACAATTCATCTGAGAACATGACAGGACAAAGCTGGATACAACTTAAACGCGCAACAGAAAACAACACACCCAGAAGGACACAGTCGGCCCGCGCTCAAATCGGACTCAGCCTGCCGGGAGGACACACGAAGCACAAAACAGAGAAACACCGAAAACAACCAAGATAACTATCGCGTGCGGAGCGGCCGCGATTCGCACACCGCCGCGAAATTCAAAGACCGCGGACGCAAAATCGTCAAAACCATCAAAAGCCCAAAAAACGAACGGGGGACGACCATCCCGGCGATCGGACGCGCGCGTTGCTCCGCCCGATCAGCCCGGCGAACGGCGGGGCGCGCGGGATGGGAAATTGGGGTGGAAGAGGAGGAGGAGGAGGAGTCACCGGCGGCGGCGGCGGGGAGATCGGAGCGGAGCAAGGACTCGGTCAGGTCGAGGCCTTCGGCGCCGCCGTCCTTGGTCATGATTGGGGTGGGGGTTGGGGGGGGCGCGCCGCTCGATCGGCGGGCGGATGAAGCGGGAGAGATCGACGGGGAGAGAGAGAATTGAGGAGGAGAAAACGGGAGAGAAACCCTAAGGAAAAGGAGGGAAAGATTTTCCTTGCGGGGGTCAAGAGGAGGGAAGGAACGATGATGACGAGGAGAGAGCGCGAATGACGACGATGCCGCTCCGTCCATTTTTTATTTTTCTTTTTAATAATTTGAGAAATGATTTTGTTAATCAATATCTCGATAATGCTGTAAAACAATTAAGTACGAAAAAGAAAAAAGAGTTGCATTTTTCAAATGCACCGACCGTATCGGATTATATAGCTAAGCAATTGCACCGACCCTTTTTGGACTTCGCTTTCGTTTGTCCCGCGGGTTTTGCTCCAAACGACACGAATAGAAAAGAAAACTTGAATATTGGCCGACTTTGGGTTAGTTCTGTACCTAATTTTTATTCTCTAATTTTCTAGAGATCACCGCTATTAGTGACCGATATGCAGTGCTGGGAGACGTTGAACGACACTCGACTTGTTTCTTGTGGCATGGGTAACTAGTGCACGGCTTTCAAATAAAAAAATTTCCTTGTAAGTTTTCTTAGCGTTGGCATGACTCCCTTTTTTTTTTATATACACCTGATGTGTATATTGTGATTTGTGTAATTTTTTCAAATACTCTTAATTCTGGATACAAATAACTTTTATGCAGTAGCATGTTTATTTGTCAATTCGTCGAAGATTGTCTTGCGAGATTCATTATGCTGACACAATAAAAAGCGCATTAACTTGCCTTGTAGCGGATATTCTTAAGACATGAATTTTTGCTTTTCTCTAGTTAATTGTCTAGATACCGGCGGGATCTTTTATGAAAAGATGTGAAGTGTGATGTGTTAGGATTGCCGTCCACTTTCCTCTCACAAGAATGTACTCTATTATTATTGCCTATAAAACTAGCATAAGTGATGTGGAAAATGCATTGGTATGTTTGGGCTGACTTTTATTTTTTGCATTTCCTTTTTATTTAACATTTGGAAATAAGGTGTCCACTGGATACCAAGCCCCTCAAATCCTTAAAAACATATACGTACCAGCTTATCAATTCATTTAGAATTTTCTTATTATCGATCTTTTTGAAATTTAAATAGTTTTGTATTTCCAAGTACATTCAGTAATAATGAACATAAACACAAAAAAGGAGACCCTTACTAATAGATATATGGATAAAATTGATTTTGTGTGTGCTTTTTATGATTGGCAAAACCAAAACATAAAAACCTAGGTAAAGAAACTCATGCTCCAATTCATGCGTTTGTATGTGGATTTGAAAGCCAAGAATAGTACCTTGATTCGGCTCCCACGAGTAACAGCTCTCCCTCGGTCGACGAAAGAGAACGGGAGGTATGGTGCAAGAGCCCACTACAACAGGTACGTTGCATGTGTATCTAGCTTGGTTATTTCACAATAAAATTTGACGAAAGCTAATAGGAAGTGAAATTGTCACTCATGTACCATTTGATCCAAAAGTTAGTTTGGGATAAATTTATTAGGGATATGCCATTTTGGGGTTTTTTATGATATTAACCCGAAAATAAAATGGTGGCTGACACGCGGCTTCTTAGCTCTGTCAATAGCTATACTGTTTTTTCTCAAAAGATATATTTTGTATTTATTATGACTTCATAAATTTGACTTACTATGTGAGCAATTATCATTTTATATAAATATGATTGCATAAAACACTATTGATTTGTCAAAGTTATGTACACCATAGATGGCCAAAATAAACAACGTGATTGATATAAGCCTTTACTCTTTGGATTTTAGAAGTGATGATACTTAAATAATCGTATGAAAAGATATTGAGATTAACTCTAGACCATAAAATTTACAATGTTGCGATTGCATTCATGTCTGTCTCCTTTTATTCTCCTCTGCTCAGAGTCACTCACTCTTTATTTTTCTCTTCTACCTCCGACCCTCTCTATCCACATCCTCCTTTCCTCCTCAGCCTCTTCTCCTTCTTCTCATTTCCACTTCGATGGCGACTAATGCACTTTTTCCGAGAGGGGAGAACTCCAAACGAAGACCGAGTTTTTAGAGACTTCAATGATCGCTTATGGCAATAGTTCGGCCAACTCTTGAGTTTTCACATCACCACGCTTGGATGGGTGCTGGGAGTTGCCCCTCTATCCAATTAAGTTGCACTACGACGCTTCTTGGATGCCCTTGCTACTCGTGTTCATGGTTGCCGGTGCCCACTTCATCAGCTTCATCATGCTGGTGCGGCGCTTTATGTATGCAGAGGTAGAGGCCATGAAGGACAAGCTGGAGCTTGTCAAGCCCACCACACAGTTGGTAGAGAGGGAGAACCGGCCGCAAGAGCCACATCAAATACTCCTCGCCGAACTATTTATTGTCATGTTCATAGGTGCTATTGCTTGGATTTCTTGGTGGTTGGCTTGTCCGGAGCGTTGGAATGATGTTGATGTCGGCATTCAAGCACTCTGGAATAAACTGTTTCACGGTGGCTAAAGTCAGCAAAAAAAGATAGTAGAAGATCTGTGTAGCTCCTTTGCCATAGGAGATGATACAAATAGATTTTTAGGTTTTGAATTTGAGGAAGCATGGAGTCTTCTTGTTATGGTAGTCTTTAGAGCTTTTATTTGGTTCTCAAGCTTGTGGCAATAATTGGACCAACTCTGAGTTTTCATATCACCACGCTTAGATGCGTGCTAGGAGTTGCTCCTCCATCCAAGTTGCACTGCAACGCTTCTTGGATGCTCTTGCTACTCGTGTTCATGATTGCCGGTGCCCACTTTATCAGCTTCGTCATGCTGGTGCGGCGCTTTATGCAGAGGTATGCAAAGGTGGAGGCCATGAAAGACCAGATGGAGTTTATCAAGCCCACCATATAGTTGGTAGAGAGGGAGAACCGGCCTCAATAGCCACATCACATACTCCTCGCCGGACTATTTATTGTCATGTTCATAGGTGCTATTGCTTAGATTTCTTGGTGGTTGGCTTGTCCGGAGCATTGGAATGATGTTGATGCTGGTATTCGAGTGAAAAAAGATAGTAGAAGATCTGTGTAGGTCCTTTGTCACAGGAGATGATACAAATAGATTTTTAGGTTTTGAATTCGAGGAAGCATGAGTCTTCTTGTTATGGTAGTCTTTAGGGCTTTTATTTGGTTCTCAAGCTTGTGGCAATTAGCCAACTCTTGAGTTTTCATATCACCACGCTTGGATGCGTGCTTGGAGCTGCTCCTCCATCCAAGTTGCGGTACGACGCTTCTCGGATGCCCTTGCTAGGTTGCGTTTGGTAGCTAGAATAAACTTTAGGATAGGATAACATTTATTCTATCCTATGTTTGGTTCCTACTCAAGACAGGATAAAGCCGGATATACGAGGGATATAGCCTGGATAAAATTATTCCAGGGGGGAGGTGGGATAATGGTGGATAGGATTTCTCGTGTTTATGGTACAAAAGCTATTTTTCTCGAAACAAACTTTTTAAATAATAAAAATAAATTAATATTTAAATATAAAAAAATATTTTAGTTATAATATTGAAAAGATAATTTAGAATGTCAAAAAAATAATTTTCGTTTTTATATATTCCTATATTATTTATATAATTGAATTTCTTTCTACTTTATAATATATATTTAATATCTATATTATTACATATTTTAGGTATAATAGTATAGTTTATAAGTCGATAAAATTTTTATAAAGGACTGATGGAAGGGAATAAAAAAATAAAAAAAGAGATGGAAAAATAAAAAAATTGAGTAAGTAAAAATGAGGTAGAAAAACCCAGATTTTAATAAACAAATTCAAATATGAAAAGAATCTTTCTAATTCTCGAAACTCCTATATAATTTTGTGGTTCACGTCGAAATTTCACAAAAGTAGCGAAGAAGTCCAAATACTATACTTTTCGTAATCACAAAAGTGAATGATTATAATTTTATTCTCTTACTAGATTTGACCGTGCATTAGGAGAGATTTTTACAATATTCGTTTGTGCATTTTCAAATTCATTTATATTGATATGTAGCAAAATAATAAACAATAGACGTGATAATATATGAAAATATCCGACTTTATTTCTACGATTCATCAAACAGTTGATAGAATATGGCAAAATCCTTGAATTTCATATCCTATCTTATTCAATCCTATCATGACTAGAAATCCGGACGACCAAACGCAGCAGGGTCTGTCCTTATTGAATAGATTGGAACTGGGAATTGTTAATGTTGAACTACAATCTAACATGGGTCGGGATAAAAAGAAACACTCTCTAGCCAAAAGTTACATTATTGAGAAAAATCGGGAAAACTATTTCGTAAGTTGGGTGCGTGCATTGAAGTCATCGCTTTGTGAGGTCACTTGCATTCGTATTTTGTCGAGTTTGCACATAAATAACGTTCATGATTTGTACCCTGCCAATCAAATGAAGAGACATAGCCTTAAAATATAGCTTAATTATTAAAGTATGGTGAGTCCTATTTATAATAATGGCGAGTCTCACTCAATTTGAGGAGTAAATGTTTTTTTAAAACTTATATGGCACATGGATAATACTTTCTCGAAAATCCTAAATGAACATGACTGATCGAAATTCTCATGTTTTTAATTAATTTAAGAATGCAATTTTCGAAAAAATTCTTATACCCACCGTTTTAATTGGTGGTTACATGTTATAGAAATTATCTACCTGCAATAAAAAAAAAACACATTATCATGATTGATGTCCATGTTTGTAACCAATCGTTGAAATTCCTCCAATCATTGGAGGAAAATATCACTCTTTTTTTTTTATCGAAAAAATAACATTTTGTACATGTCTAAACTTTGCCGGCTACGACATCAATATCCCAAAACATTTTTTCGTGCCAGCAAAACCCCAAAACTTGTGATGATGATTCAAAAATACATTCCATCACAGTTTTGTACTAGACAACCATTACAATCCAATATGGCATCTTGCATGGATAACCGCAAATTCACGGAGCTGATGTGGATCTTACACAGCTTAAGAAAATTTCAACAAAAAAGCTTAGTATTTTACAATACAACACCAATACTCCGAACTTTTTTTTAATGTAACTAATACCCTAAACTTATATCAGTGATCCAAAAATA